GGAGCAGCTGGTAGTTTTGAACTGCTGACCTTGCAGTTCGCAACCCGATTCATAACCACTATGCTACCAGAGCTCCTTAAAGCACAATTACAAGAAACTAAACTAGGCCTATAAAAATGGAGGCATCCCAAGCTCATTAATTGGAAGATTTAATATAATGAAACTGTCAACACATACCATGCAAACCCAATACAAATCCAAACAATATTCTTTACTGAAATGGAAAAACTAATGATCAACTTCATATGAAAATGAAAGAAACACTGAATAGACAAAGCAATCCTGAAGAAAAAGAACAGAGCAGGAGGCCTCACACTCCCTGATAGCAAAACATGCCATACAGTCACTGTGATACGAACAGACTGGTATTGATTCAACAACAGACACTTAAACTAGTGAAATACATTAATTGTAGTAGCGACAAAATTGTATGTAGTAATATTACTAAGAATAAGATGTAGCTAAAAAAAGGAGCTCTGGTAGCATAGTGGTTACGAATTGGGCTGTGAACCTTGCGGTTCGCAGTTCGAAACTACTAGCTGCTCCATGGGAGAAAGATGAGGCTGTCTGCTCCCATAAAGATTTACAGCCTCAGAAACCCTATTCAGGGTCGCTATGGGTTGGAACCAACTCCCCGGCACATACCATTTGCTCCTAGGAAACCTTATATAGGGTCGCTATGAGCCGGAACTGACTCCATGGCACTCAACAACAGCAACAGCACCTATACTATCGAGTCCTGGTGTGGAGCTGTCGGATAAGATATGGACTGCTAACAGCAAGGTCAGTGGTTCAAACCCACCAGCTGCTCCTCGGAAACCCTATACAAGGTCGCTATGAGTCGAAACCGAATCAACGACACTTAATGATAACATTACTACCTATACTTACAGTTACCAATGTTTTATAATCAGAAAGGATGGGAGCAAAGATAAGCATCATCAGGCAAGGTATAGAAGGGGTCCCAGCACAAGGCTTCCACAGTTCCCAGGGACATGCCACCCTTGTTCTAGAATGGTTGTTTTCACCATTCCAGGAAGCCACATGTAATGTCCACAATTGGGCTTCTTATAACAATGCATATTCATGATGGGACCTCAGTGCATAGTGATGATTGGTGCCTCGTTGAATATGCATCATTGATAGAATTAATGAATATGCATGGTTGATTCTGTCCTGTCCTCGCTTCTTGAAGTTTGCTGTCAGGGTGGGCCCTTACTCATTTAAGTGCTACCTGACTATTTTAGAAAAACAAAGACACTTCCACTGTTCCAGAAATTACAAGGACTGATTTTCAGGAACCAGAAACAAAAGGTCATATCCCACAATTTGTTGTTGTTAAGTGCCTTTGAAATAGTTCTGACTCAGTGACCCTGTACAGAGTTTCCAAGGAGTAGCTGGTGAGTCTGAACTGCTGACCTTTCAGTTAAAACTGACTTTGCTGTCCAGTGCCTTATCCTCTCTGTATTTGCTTATTTCCTAAGTGGGATCCTACAGTATTTGTCCTTTGGCAACGTATTTTCAAGGTTCATTTTCTAGCGTGTATTGTAGAGCAACAGGGCAGAGTCTAGTTGAAATTGAAAGTAAAGAACTCTTATGGAGAGGTAAGGCAAATTAGACTTCACTGGGTGTAAAGAGATAGTTCAGGAAATTAAAAAAACAAAACAAAATGCAGTAGATAAAGTGAATAGAGGTAAACTGTTGGTACATGGAGGGGATTGCAACCATGTAATGAAGCAAAGTATATGATTTGTTGAGTATAAAACTCATGATCTTCTCTGTAAAGCTTCACTCAATTCACAATAAGAAGTTGAAAAGAAAATACAATGAACTTCAGCAAAACTTCAATGATTGGGTGATATTTAAATAATGGTTACAAAATTGGATGAGGGTACATCTGATGGATAGGGGATTACATACATTTCTAAAAAAAATTTAACATTTTATTGTAAATGGAATGAAGGGTTACAGAGCAGCTCATCAGTTTTTAATTTAATAAATCTTTGATTCATTAACATATCCTTTAGTTCATTACAATGATTGCAGTCCCTCCATGTACCATGTTAACAGTATTTACCTCTGTTCACTTCAACTCTTGTATTCCTTCCTGTGTCTACTGCTACCTTCATCTCTCCTCTGCTAACCTTCCTCTTATTGTATGTGGCCTTGCTCTATCTCCCATGTTAACATGAATAATTTTCACTGCCTCCTCACCTGCTTGACCACAATAGAATGTTTATTTTGTTATGTAAACCTTTTCTTAACTTTTTACAACAGTGGTTTCATGCAAAATTTGTCCTTCTGTGATTAATTAATTTCACTCAGCATAATGTCCTCCAGGTTCATCCATGCTGTGAGGTGTTTTGCAGATTTGTCTTTATTCTTCAATGTTGTGTGTATGTACCAAAGTTTGTTTAATCATTCTTTTGTTGATGGGCATTTAGGCTGTCTACATCTTCTTGATGTTTTCTTATCCATTCTGCTACTCTGTCTCTTCACTGGTGCGTTTAACCCATTTATGGTGGTGGTGGTGATTGTGTGCCATGGAATCCGGTCCCGACTCTTAGCGACCCTGCACAGGGTTTCTGAGGCTGTAAATCTTTATGGGAGCAGAAAGCCTCAATTTTCTCCCGTGGAGTGACTGGTAGTTTCAAACTGCTGACCTTGAGATTAGCAGCCCAACTTGTAACCACTATGCTACCAGAGCTCATTCAGTATAATTATTGATAGGTATGAATTGATTGCTGTCATTTTGCTTTGTTTTTTTTTTGTGTGTGTGTGTGTGTGGTGCTGTTCCACATAATTTTCTGTGCTAAGTTCATTTTGTTTCTGGGTTTTCTTTTAATTTTCATTTCTGTTGTGTTAATGTTTACTAAATCTTTCTAATTTTCCTCTTTTTTATTTTGATGTAAGTGTATTCATTTTCTTTAAGGTTGCCCTGCAATTTATTTTTTCTCCAGTTTAAGACAGTCTGTTTTATCTTGAAATCAGCTTGACTTCCTCATCATTTAGAACTTCTGTATCTACATTATTCTCTCTTTTGGCTTTGTAGTTGACTTCATATTACATTGGTATCTTTGGTTCCCTATTTTAAGTTTTGTAGGTTTGTTTTACTTTAAATGCTTCGATGAGGGTGAGTCAAAAATTATCCACACTCTGGCTGTAGAATTTGTTCTAATCAACTTTTAGACAAGACAAATACATAATTTTTCAACAGAATCTCCTTGCTTTTCAATATACTTTGTCCATCTGTTAACAAGCTTTCATATTCCCTTATTAAAAAATGTTTTAGGCTGAGCTGCAAGCCATGAATGCACCTCTTTCTTTACTTCATCAGTAGTGAATCTTCATCCTCGAAGGGCTGCTTTCAGTGGACCAAACAGGTGAAAGTCTGATGGAGCAAAAAACAGTACTATAGGGACGATTCTTTAACACCTCAAAATAAAGTTTTTGCAGTGTCAACAGAGTGGACGGAGGTGTGCAGACATGCATTACCTTGCCTTGGGATAGCAGTCCTCTGTGTTTAATCTGAAGTTTAGGCTTCAGTTCTTCAGTGAGCATCTCACTGTAATGGGCACTGTTGACTGTTGAACCTTTTTCCTATAGTGTTCCAGTACTGGCCCTTGAGAATCCCAGAAAACTGTAAGCATCAATTTTTCAGCTGGTGGTTGACTTTTGAACTTTTTCTTGTACGGCAATTGAGGATTTTTCATTTCATACTCTGACGTTTACTCTCAGGCTCGTAGTGATGAATTCATATCTTGTCACCAGTAATGATTTTTTTCAAGAAACTTTTACCTTCCTTCAAGTATCAGTCCACATTGTGTTTGCACATGTTCAAATGCTCCTGTTTATGCTCTTGCATGAATTGTTTTGGTATCCATCTTGCACAAGCTTTTTTTTGAAACCCAAGTCTGTCATGGATTATTTCATAGGCATAGCCATGGCTGATTTGTAAATTATTTGCCACGTAATCCACTGTCACTCATCTATTAGATAGAATCATTTCATGTGCATGCTCAATGTTGTCATCAGCCATGGATGTGAAGGGTTGTTTTAATGTAATCAGAATGCAAATCACTTTTGAGTAACCCTCCTATATCTGGATTGAGTGTTGTTGTTATGTATGTCAATCTCAGGTTGTTGTCTGCTGTTGGTTCTCAGTCCAAAAAACACCTTTTGGTAGTTCTTGTAAAATTGGTCTATTACAAATTCCTTTCATTTCTGTTTATCTGGAAATGTCCTAACTTCACCACTGTATTTTAGGGAGAGAGTTTATTATCAAGGAAATGGCTTACAATTGTAGAGTCCCAGGTCCCCAGTGGCAGAGAAAGAGCAAGAGCCTTTCCTGCATGTTCATTATATTGGGAGCAGGCCACACCCCCTAGGAAGCATTCCTTCAATTGATTGGCTGCTGATAGCCGTGCATCATACTGCTAACTATGCCTAGATTAGGTTTCATCACTATGGGAATACACACATCCCTACTGCTAAACTTCTGGAAATCCTGACCTAGTCAACTTGACAAAACACCTCACCATTACATTCCACCCTTGACAATATAGATTATGCATAAACTATATGCATAATCTTTAAATAAAGAAAATTATAAAGTCATACTTACGCCTAACATGATATAACTAAAGCACGTACAACCAAAAACACACTGACCCCATTTATATCTTATATGTCACAAATGAACAAAGCAAAAATACTTGATGCAGACATGCAAAACAAAATACAAAATATACAGTTATTTAAATGTCCAAATGGCACATTCTACAAGCCAGTCTCCTAGCCCAATTTGTGAGGTTGTAGAGACTGTGGCTATGGTTGGCCTATATGGCTGCAGTTTTTGTCTCCTGTTGGGTGAGGCAAGTAGAGAAACTGCACCCCACCACCAGAGATGGAAGCAGAGATGGGGACATGGAGGGAGGGAGCAGCTGAAGACTCTAGATTCATGGGAAAAGAGGGACTAAGAGCTCGTGGCCAGGAAGCACACTTGCAGAATGTGCCCTTTGGTGGTATAAATTATTATATATGCCTGAGTATTAAAAAAAAAAAAAAAGGCTAAAGTGAATAGAAAAAAAAACTGTTAACTGATGGTACATGGAGGGAATTATAATCATTGTTATAAAACAAGGTGTATGATTTGTTAATATAAAACTAATGATCTGCCCTGTAAACTTTCCCTCAATCCACAATAAAAACCTTAAAAAAACAACCACTACAACCACAAGATAGAAGAAAAACAAACAAATAAGCAAATAACAGTGAAAAATAAAATAATAATGCAGAAAGAAGAAAAAGAATAAAAACAAAAAGTGTGTACTGCTTTCTCTCCACCAATATGTGGTAAGCCTCTGCGCCATCTACTGGCTTCTTGCCTTCACAGCAGCTCAAGAAAGTTCCAGATGGTCCTGCTGCGCCTGTCCAGCATAGATAGCTAATCCCACTTCTCTTCTTCAATTGCTTATTTTAGTGAGCGCTAGTCTGGGGCTGTTGTTGTTGTTGTTGTTAAGTGCCATCGAGTCGGTTCGACCCATAGCGACCCTGTACAGGGTTTTCGAGGGTGTAAATCCTTACGGGAGTAGAAAACCTCATCTTTCTCCCGCAGAGCGGCTGGTAGTTTCGAACCGCTGACCTTGAGGTTCGCAGCCCGATTCGTAACCACTACGCTACCCAGGGTCTATTTTGTAGATTTGAAGTATTTTGTAGATTTGAAGCAGATCCTGCCCAAGTGGGGTTATTGTGGTTAGTTCCTTCCCGTTTCATGGGGTTTACAATGTAACTCTGAGCAACTCAGCAGCATCCCTGGGGGTGTACATTGGTGGAAGCTAGCCTTGTGGTCCCTAGGGGAATGTAGGGAACCAGGTTGTTGTTAGGTGTTATCAAGTCGGTACTGACTCATAGGGACCTTATGCGCAGCAGAATGAAACACTGCCCAATCCTGGGACACCTTTGTCTCTCTGAGCCAGTTTTCTTGTCTCTGAAGCCTCTCACAGATGATCAAGATGGCTGTGACAGGTCCCGTTGGCCACCGCAGCTCAGCAGTCACTTTCTCTCTTGCCACATCTGCCCAACTCTCTTTCCCAGTAAGCACTTGATCATCCACCTCTCTATCCCTTCCTCTGAAGCTCAGAGTTCTAGGACCATCGTCTACATCTGTCTCGTTTTTCCGTATATTTGCTGTGTAGTCTGCCATCTTGCAGTTAGGTACTCTTAGAAAAAAGATTGCACTTATTCTATAGACTATAATCTTGTTTTTGTTCCTTTGAAAGGTGGTTGTTGTTAAGTGCCATTGAGTCAGTTTCAACTCATAGTGATACTGTATAGGGTATCCAAGGAGAGTCTGGTAGGTTTGTGGTTAACAGTACTTATTCTTGTCACTGTTTTTTTTTGTTTTTTTTTCCTTTAAAAAACCAACAACCAAAACACACTTCCTTAAGTATCTCTGCATGCATGTATGTGTTCCTTCAATATACCACCTCTTTGTCCTTAAAACCTAGCTTGGTGTCTATCATATTCCAAATGCTTAATAAATGTTTGTGGAATGAAAAAGTGTATTAATATGTAAACAACAGCTTTCATAGTTTTCAGCCACTCCTCCCTACTTTGAAGCCATCATGAGTTGGTGGAGGTTGTATGCCATTGAGTTGATTCCAATTCATAGTGACCCTGTATCGGGTTTTCGATGCTGTAAATCTTTATGGGAGCAGAAATGCCTCATCTTTCTCCCATCAAGTGGCCTGTAGATTTGAACTGCTGACCTTGTTTAACAGCCTAACTCAAAACCCACTTTGCTACTAGGGCTCCTTATTGTGAGGTAAAATATGCAAATAAAGATCAATTAAGCTAATTTTAACTGGCAAGTGGAAAAAGCAAGACAAAACATTAAACACTATAATAAAAAGAACATCAGGAAGACATCTATAATAAATGTGAAGTCTAGGTTAACATTGAACTCTCTTGTGTCTAGCTTAAGGAACCCTGGTAGTGCTTTGGGTTAAGTATTAGCCTGCTAATTGCAAGGTCAGCAGTTCAAACCCATCAGCTGCTCCACTGGAGAAAGGTGAAGTTTTTTGCTTATATAAAGATTTGTAATTTAAAAAATGCTAAGAAGCAGTTAAGGAGCTCTGGTAGTGTAGTGGTTACAAATTCGGTTGCTAACCTGAAGGTCAGCAGTTCGAAACTACCAGCAATTCCGCAGGAGAACGATGAGGCGTTCTGCTCCTGTAAAGATTTATAGCCTCGGAAACCCTGTGCAAGGTCACTATGAGTCATTTCCGACTCCACGGTACTTAACAACCACAAGAAACAGTTCAATTCTGTCCTATAGGGTCCCTATGAGCAGAAATTGACCAAGTGGCAGTGGGTTGGTTTTGGTGCCTAGCCTGGGTGAACTCGGTCAGAGAGAGAATGGTCATGAGTTGGATTAATGGTCATGTGAGTGTGATTCTCTCTCTGGAGTCTCTGGGTGGCACAGATGATTCAGCATTCAGCTAATAACCCAAAGATGGGTGGTTCATATCTACCCAGAAGCACCTTGGGAGAAAGGTCTGAACATGTGCTTCTGAAAGGGCACAGACTCAGCTCTACTTGTCAACACATGGGGTCAACTCTACAGCAACTGTTTTGTTTTTGTTCTTCTCTCCTCCCAGGGGCCCTACGGAGGGCAGGGTCAGCTCGGGTGGTGAATGTGAATTCCTTTAGGCACGCATATGGGTACATTGATGAGGAGCACCTGACAGGGGGTGGTGGACCTTTGGTCTTCAACCAGAACTATGACTGCAGCAAACTGTTACTGACTTCATTCACTGGGGAGCTTGCTCGAAGACTTCAAGGGACAGGTAACTGCCTCAGGCACATCCTACTCCCTCCACTCTCAAAACCAATCTATTCCATCTTCTTCCAACATGTCCTGGTCATAAAATACTCCCAATATCCCCAGATCAGATGTTACTCCCTTCCATTTATCACTCATGAACCCTGTATTTCTTTCGATTGTCTTCATATCTCCTCTGAAGCCTTTTCCAATTCTCTATGACCCACACCAGCCTTCGCCTGCCAGTATGTCCTAATACCACCATCTATCATATTTCCCCTAAAGTTCATCCAACACCTTGAAATCCCTCTTGACTGGTTTTCATACCATCAGTTGTGTAAGTTATAAAGCACTGGCTTCACTTTCACCACCCCACTACTCAGCAATACTGGAAATACCCTTTCTTCATTGCACAAGTATAGCCACACTTGACCTCTTCTTTCCCACATCCATCTCTCACTTTGCTTTCTCCCGGGTCCAACCCTCTCAGGTGTGACTGTGAATTCTGTGGAAATAGGTATTGTATACACAAACATCATGAAGCAACTATCTTGGAAATATCGCTTTCTCTTCTGGCTCACCAGTTTCTTCATCAAGGTGAGTGGGACAGGCCTCCATTTCTCAATGTCCTTCAGCAAATTAAAGCCTGACTGGGCAGACCATTTTGTCGTCATTCCATGTCTCCACAGGATCCCAAGTGTGGTGCAATCCCAGTCCTCTACCTGAGCTTGGCACAGGAGCTAGATGGCATTTCTGGAAAATATTTTAGCAGTTCCTGTATGGTAACTCCTCCTAGTAAGCCTGCTCTGGATCCTCATGTGGCCCAAAGCCTCTGGAAGGCCACCATCCGACTAACCAACCTGGACAAGATGGACTGACACTCTGAACAATCCTAACTAACCACCTTCCCCCAGCTTTTAACTCTTACTCTGATTATGCCTTTTGTTTGCTGGCCCCAAATATCACTCTCCTTGCTGAACACAATGGTCACTTTCTTTAACTGTTGGTTTAGTGGTATGAGAATCAAGAATATCTAGGGAACAGTTTCAGTTTCCACTTTATTGTCAGTTCTCTAACATGCATTAATTCCTTGGCCATTAGAATCTCCAGATATTACCAAGTCCTAAATTGTGGTGATGCAGAGTAAAACTTCTTCCAGTAATTATTAAGGGTATAAGAGGGGCGACTTCTACCTCCATTGTGGTTCCCAGACCCTTGCTTCTTGGCTGTGGGAGAGACAGCACTATATAGTATTCTCTGGCTAAAGACATATACCAATCCTATGGGACAGCCCCCCCGCCTCCCCAAAGAAAAAAGCCTTTATAGGGTGTGGTCTCCCAGCTGGTACTATAACTGAGCCTGCATATTGTCATTCTACCTTCCTAGCAAATCAGCTGCTTCTGGGTGATATACCATGTTATACCCTCTGCCGTGGAGTCAATTCTAACTCAGAGCAACCTATACAGGGTTTCCAAGGCTGTAAATCTTTATAGGAGCAGAAAGCCTTTATCTTTCTCCCTCTGAGTGGCTGGTGGATTTGAACTATTGACCTTGCTGTTAGCAGGCCACTGCTTGTCCTGTTCATGTAATAAAACCAGTGAATTGTGTGGGTGTCTGTCAGTCCACTGATATTTTCCTGGGGTCTTTGTTCATCTGTATAAATTTATGTCAAATGTCATACATACAAATGAAATCTTGTTGGGAATGCACTACATTTATAGGTCTATTGGGGAGAATTGGCATCTTTATGATACTGAATCTTCTTAACTATGGCCAGGTTACAAGGATAAGTAAAAAATTATTGCCACAAAAATCATTAAAAAGACCAGGCTTACTAAGTTGGATCAAGACTGGTAGAACCTCTAAGACTTTAACCCTCAGTCACCCTTCAAGTCTGATACTGAACTCACCCCATGGCTCAATTTTCAGCCAAATAACACATAGAGAGGTCTATATGAGGAATAATAGCACTAGTGAGGTACACACACCTTAGAGTAATGAACCATTTGAGATGAAAAGGGCAGCATTTACCTAAGTGCAAAGTTTAGAAGGGTTAGGAAATAATAAAAAAGAATGGAAACAGGAAACAGGGAGAAAATGGAATAAGTGATATTATATTGAGGGGACTGAAGTCAGGAAGATGAAACAAAATGTATATAAATTGTTGAATATAAATCAGGTGTTCTGCTTTGTAAACCTTCACCTAATTTGCAATAAAAAGTTGAAAAAAAAAAGCGAACAAATAGTATTGCTACAAAATAATTTGTTAGGTGCATTGAGTTTGACTCATAGCTCCCTTGTGCACCACAGAATGAAACACTACCTGGTCCTGTGTCATCCTCACAAGGACAGCCAGAATGCTCCTTAGAAGCCAGGATGGCCAGACTGTGTCTTTCATACTTTGGACATATTATCAGAGGGACCAGTCACTGGAGAAGGACATCATGCTTGGTAAGATGGAGAACGAACCAAGAAGAGGAAGACCCCCTAACAAGATGGATTGGCACAGTGGCAGCAACAATGGGCTCAAATGTAGCAATGATTGCAAGACTGGCACAGGACAGGGCAGTGTTTCTTTCTGTTGTGCATAAAGTCACTATGAGTAGTTACCAACTCGATATGGCACGTGACAACAGCAAATGTCTATACATTTCTGAAGGTACAATTTCCATCTCTCTAACTCTTCAGTGTTCTTTGATTCACACCATGTCAAAATGGCAGTTTTGGCATCCTTGAGGGACTCAAATCATGTTCTTTTTAACTGTTTCATGAGTTTGGGGAGCAAAAAGACATCTGAAGGGGCAGGCAAGATCAGGGCTCTAAGATGGATGGGGTAAGGTTTCCCAACAAAATTCTTACAGGACATCTTCAAAGAATGAGCAGGCGTGATAGAAAAAAATTCCTTGGTATAACTTTCCTGGCTTTTTTCCTCACCAATATAGTTTTCAATTTTCCTAAAACTTCTTTAAAAAGCCCCCATGATTGTCCTGTGTCCTTTTAGAAAATCTATAAAAATTATTCCTCTGGAATTTCCCCAGTCACCATAACTTTCTGAGCTGACCTCTCTGCCTTGAATTTAACTGACCCAGCAGATCCTCCTGGAGGTTAAGGTTTTAAACTGTTTTTTTTTTTTCATTTATTATTTTCATTTCATATTTAAATGAATATAATAAACTCCTTAAAAAAAAAAAAGTAAGGCACACAGAAAGCCTTATGTTCAAGTGCCTTATTACCTAAAATTCCTATGACTAAAATAGAGATGCTTTCACTATAGACTGGAAAGCATTCCTCCATGCACAGCCCTTAAGTGTTACATGCCAGTGAACCAAATGCTTCTCATTATCGGCTTATCCACATACTGTCTTAGGCTGGGCTTTCTAGAGAAGCAAAACCAGTGAAACACACACACACATATATATCCTTTCAATTGATGGCCTGCTCATAGTCACTCATCAGAATTAATTATGCCTGTATTAGGTTTCATTGCCATGGGAATAAGCACATCCCAAATGCTTAGTGAAGATGACACAGAATTCTAACCATTGCACATATGTTTTCTGAATTTAAGCAAAACAGAATCTGACTGCATCAAGCTCCTTCCTATGACAGACTTGACCTGTCTGTCATTTACAGCTGCTGCCTGCTCCCCATGGAGGCTGGGGCTGTAAGATGCTGAAGACCCTGGACAGGTACTGCTTGTAAGACACCTGGATCCAGTCATCCTGGTATGTGTCATAGCACCTGATTATTTCTGTCAGTCTCTGCAAGATGATGCAGCCATCGAAAGAATCTGTTCTTGTTCCTGTCTGTCAAACTGTTGAATGAGGATATTGTGAAACTGGTCCAAGAGCTGGTACCCAAAACCAGCTTGTGGATCTTGTGGATCATCCCAGAGTTGTCCTGGGACATTCTGCCAGTCCGTGATGTACTTCCAGATGCAGGTGAACTTGCTGAAGTTCACACCGGTCTTGTTCTGTTGGTCAAGCATGGGTATGACTGAGCTGACAGTCACTGGATTCAGTGGAGCCCATGTGCAGTTGGACAGTGCCTGCTGCAGCTGGCCGCTCAGGTCTTTGCCCACCATCTGAAAGACATTCCACAGTTACCTCAGATCCGGCAACATCAAGCTTGGGGCAGGGGTGGCACCAGTGCCCAGCAAGGGTGGTAGGCATAGGTGGCCATAGGCCAAGTGGTGGGGCAGAGGCGCTTATGGTGGAGAAGAGACCATAAGAGGCTGCATTTTTCTTTTGAAGGCACCCTAAAGAGACTAAGCAAGTGAATTACTGAGAGAACTTGTCTGCAGCCACCCACTGATCACAGAGATATGTTTTATTTTGAATATACAGGTTGTGTGTATGTAACCTTGTAGTATTGTTTGAAACAAAGTATTCAGTTAGGATTGGCTTATGCATTTTGTGTATCCATGCAACAGAGTATTGTTGCAGCTGAAAAAAATAAACGAGGAAGATCTCTCTTTACTCATTTGAAAATGTCTCCATGATATGTTGTTAAATGAACAACAGCATTGTTGTTAAGTGTGTGGGTTCCGATGAGCAGCTGGTGGGTTTCTACTGCCAACCTTGTGTTCAAAGTAGAATATGATTCCAGCACCACACCAGGAATCTATATAAAATACTACCTTTTGCAAAATAAATGTGGAAGAGTAGGCATATACAAATTTGCTTACAAAATGCTGACCGGATAAACAAGAGTTATCTGTAGTGGACAAGAGGGAAGGGACAGATGGAAGGCATATAAGGAGGTTTCTCAGTGCACAGATTTTCTATTTTGATTTTTGAACACTGTAAATGTATTAGCAATTCAGAGAGGTAATTGGAAATATTTTTTAAAAGGGGTGGGCAGTGGTGAGAGGTTGTTCAATTCACCCCTTCAACTACTTACCCTCCTCCCCAGCTTTATGGATTTTTCAGGTTGTTTTAAATCTGAGATTATTGTTGTTGTTAAGTGCCGTGGAGTCGGTTCCGACTCATAGCGACCCTGTACAGGGTTTCCGAGGCTGTAAATCATTACGGGAGCAGAAAGCCTCATCTTTCTCCCGCAGAGCGGCTGGGAGTTTCCAACTGCTGGCCTTAAAGGTTCGCAGCCCGATTCGTAACTACTACGCTACCAGAGCTCCTTAAAATCTGAGATTAACTGCAATAAAATATTAAAACAGCTAATATTCAAACTCTTTACATAGATTATTCTGCTTAATCCTCCTTAAATTTAAATAGAAATGGTCATTCAAGTCTCATTTTACAAACGAGGAAACAAAGAGGCACAGAGAGGTTTAAGTAACCAAGATCTCACACAGCTGAAACTCACTCTATCAGATCCCAACTTTCTCAACATCCAAATAGATTTGTACAGATTATTTTCTCCGGCTATATAATTAGAAATGGGTCATTGGGTCAAAGAGTTTGCACTTTTAAACCTTTTTTAAATTAAAAAGCAAGTGTATTTAATTTAAATTTTAAATTAAAACCCCCCCATAATTCTATTAAGTAAGTTTGCACTATTTTACTATCTCATCAATGTTGTTGTTACGTGCTTTAGACTCGGTTCCTACACAAAACGACCTCGTACGGCGTTTCTGAGGAGCGGCTGGTGATTTGAATCGCGGAACTTGTGGTTAGAGTCCAGAGTTTATGGGGCACAAGAATTCCCATTCCCCTCTTCCACTCCCGACAGATAACACTGAGTAGCAACAAAACTTATTTTCCCCTAATCGACGAGATACTGTCACTATTGCTTTAATTACAGTTTGACGCTCAAACCCTTAGTGACTGACTCTTTTACAATTTGCCTGCAGTAGCAGGCAAAATGGTCCTCCATCCCCTCTGTGGCACTGTAAGATAAGTACTGGACAGCAAAGTCG